GGGGATCAAACTCATGCTGATGTGGCTTTAGCTTTTTAGTGTTGTGCTTTAACCCGCTGCACCACCAGGGAGGGCCCAATAAATAAATCTTTTAAAAAAGAACTCAACAACAAAAATCCTCACAAAGTCAGTGGGCGATACATGTGTACCAGAGCGAGAATTAGAGCCTGGGGTGAGCCCTTGGACTGTCAGCTGCTACGACCGACAAGCGACATTTGAAGAAAGGCTGTTACGTGCACGCCGACACAGGAGAGTGAGAGGAAAGTTGGGGTCACAGGAAAAAAGTGGGGTGACTAGCACCAGGTGGCTATCTGTATCAAGAAGGTGAAGCTGTTTATGTTTGTCTTTAAAGCACTCATCTTTGAAAGACAAAGGGAAGAGTTTGCAATTTTAGCCTAACCAGTCACAGGCTGGACACACTGAAAAAATGAGCCCCAGAAAGTCACCCAAGGCAGACGAGCAAAAGGCAATCCTCACTAACGTACGCTATGCAATTTCCCCTAAGTTAGTGTTAGTGTGTAAAAGACATCCTGGACTGTGACCACAACCTGATTCCTGTGTGGCAAGGTGTACACGGCTCCAGGGGGCGCCCCCTCTTCTCTGCGGGCAGTGACAGTCCCCAACTCCTTGTAGCTGAAGGACAGGTGGGTGTTGGAGTCCTCTTCCTCCCTGTCGCCCAGTGTCTCAAAGGACAGCAAAGAAGATCTTCCTGTCTCGCTCTGCCAATGCGGTCTGTGTTAGAACACGGAAGAATAAAATAAGCCACCAGGCCACTTACCACACCGCGCCGGTCAGGCCCACGCATTCAGGCCCGCCCTGGTGGCGCAACGGGTTAGGACGTAGCACTGTGAGCTGGCTGCAGCCGCTTTAGTGCGGGTTGGATCCCTGCCCCAGGGCTGACCCACAGGGCGCGGCAGACCACTCCTGACCCGCCCCTGCTCCCCTCAGCAGTGGACTTCGTCAGCCGGCCTGGTCTGCTCCCCACTCTGCCTCTGGTGAAGCCTCTCACTGCGTCTCCCTGGTAGCATCACAGCTACATGACAGAATGTGTGGATGCTGAACCGTGAGGCCATCGCTGTCTCTTCTCTGTCCACGCTCAACATCTCTCCAGGATTTTCACCCAGGTTTGTAGAGTTATCATCGCCACATACACACGCCGCTTGCCTTGTTATTCACAAGTTTTTTACGGTCAACATTTTAAAAGGTAAGACTCAAGTAGATTCAACAGTTTGGTCAGTTGTCCCCCCTTTCTTGGTACCCCCACCCCTTAGTTAAACTGGGTTGTCAGAAAAGTCGTGATGTATTTTAAAACAGAGACAACTCAATGAACTTCCACATATAGAAAATCTCTGTATTTAGGATTAGTCCTAAACAAATACTCAGATGGTAAGCCGCAGAGTCAAATGCCATCAACACTGTGTGTCCGCACGTACACAACACACATCCACCTGACAAGTCCTTTCCCCAGCCTATGACATTAAGAATAATTTCTGGGCCCTCCCTGGTGGTGCAGTCGGTTAAAGTACAGCACTATGAAGCTTCCTCAGCCACTGCAGCATGAGTTCAATCCCC